ACACACACACACACACACATTATGGGAGGCAAATGCCCCTGAATGGAAAAGTAACACGCAATCTCTACTAGAATCCCTGGACAATGTATCACAGGGCATCTGCTTAAAGCCTGTCCGTTATCTCATGCAGATAGTGGAGTGTCTGAAGTCAGAGTGCATGAGATAGAGAACTGCACCTGGTAAAGGCAAAGTTTGTTAAAAATGAATGGACCCTTTAAAGGTGGCATTGAGTGCATGGATTCAATCAGTTAAAATGTTTGCTGATATCGACATAGTAGGTACAGGTGTTGGACTATGAAACTAAAACTCTGGCCAATTTAGTGTTCAGGAATTCATGGCTAAATTTGTCCAGTCTGGTGGCCAATCTTCATTGTTTGCATATTCCACCAGTAAGAACACACTGTGAATGTTTCATTAGCAGGGTTTTGCTAAAGATGTTGTAATGCACACAATTTTATGGGTGACAAATTTTCGATGCACGTCTTGCTGGTGCATCTGTGACCAAGACAAGTCTTTGTGATGTATCAAGAGCCACAGTATCCAAGGTAATGTCATAAATACCATAATGTCACACCATAAGGAAGGATGGACCACATGCAATAGGTGTAACTGTAGACTCAAGAGAAATCTGTCTGAAATGGATGTCCGGGTGCTTAACTGGATCGTATCCAAAAAAAAACAAAAAACACAGCTGCCCAACTTACTGCAGAATTATCAGGTTATTGCATTAAAACATGTATTGTTCTCTGATGAGTCCACCTTTATTGTCTTTCCCACAACAGGGACAATTATGGTCTGGAGAAGCCCCTTACGAGCATTCCCTAGGCCTTAAACATGTGCTAGATGGGTGTGTCACTACCAAGGACTACTGATCCTTTAGTTACAATAATATTTATACAATATGGCTATAATGATATTTATACATGAAACTAGTGTGCAACAAGCAAAACGAATACATTTTTCCCCATTTCTTTTGTTCATTATTTAATATAGACTCCCTCAAAACACACAGGCACACACAAGATAGACTTCCAGTGTGCATTATAATTTATTATAATAATAATTTTTTTTTTGAGTTTTTGTCAACTCATTATTTCCTATATATGGCGTTTGTGCTTTTATAGAATAGGAGTTAATAAACATATTCAAGGACGTGCACAGATAGGGAGCATTTTGATTGTATGTATAGTGGACCGCTCTAGCCCAAAATACAAGGGCCGATTTATTTATTTATTTTTTTGTCCCAGTCCAGCCCTGCATGTATGTAAGTTATTATATGGGGAAGTAATGTTAGGCTAGCTGTTAAATTAATTTGAAATGGAATAGCCAGCTCATATACTTTCTGAGCTTCAGGAATGTTTCACCAAAAAATAAATCCTGTCATTACTAACTCACAACAAAGTGAGTAGATGATGAGCAAATTATTATATTTTCGTATTTTGAATTATATGTTGGTAATGAAATAGATTTGGGTTGTGTGTGTGCATGCGTGAGTACGTGTGTGTGTGTGTGTGTGTGTGTGTGTGTGTGTGTGTGTGTGTATATGTATGTGTATGTGTGGACCCCCTGAAACTAACTACATTAAATAAAAATAAAAAAAAAACTGTTTTGCTTCTTACACTTTCTTTGCATACCTGAAACTTATAAAAAATATTATTGACACACCTTAGCGTGGTTTGGAGGAACGAGCAAGGAAACATTTTCCTTGAATTCAGAATCATGTAGTGACCTGGCCACTATTCTGCTAGAAGAATGACACAAAATCCCTCTGGCCACTGTGCAGAACTTGTATCTATCATTCCCAAAACAAATCGATGCTGTATTTGGCTGCAAAAGAAGGCCCTACTCCATACTAATGATTTATTGTGGTCTAAAACCAGGCGTTTCAGTTTCATTTCCTGACTCATTATATGGTTTATATAAGTTCAAAAATTCTTAAGAAATGGTTTTATATGATCATCTAAAGTTCCAAAAATTACTCCTTAAAAGAAAAACTTCATATTGATATCATATTCATATTTTCAGTCCCTGTAAGAGCTCCAATTTTTTATAAACTTTGTGGATATTCCACAGCAATTAAGCCATGGGTGACGGCATTATAGCATGCAAATCTCAGCTTTTATATTTGTGTTGGTTTGTTTGGTTTACAATACCATTTGCAATACCATTTTGCTATTCTTTCAGTTCTGATATTTATATTTTGACTTTGCATTTATTCATCCTTTAATTGTACTTAAACAATTAAACACACATTTGCACACGCGCACGCACACACATATACACAATGTTGGAAAGGATTATTTTATGCAAAGGAAATGAGCGAGCTATTTTTAAACCACCATTCATTCCTTCATTCATTTCCTTCGGCTTAGTCCCTTTATTCATCAGAAGTCATCACAGAACCACCAACATATCCAGCATACGTTTTACACAGCGGATGCCCTTCCAGTCGCAACCCAGTACTGAAAAATATCCACATACACACTCATTCACACACATACACTACAGCCAATTTGGTTTAGTCAATTCACCTATAGCGCATGTCTTTGGAGTACACGGAGGAAAAAAGGGTCAACTGGCCCAGGTGGGACTTGAACCTGCAACCTTCTTGCTGTAAGGCCACAGTGCTAACCACTGAGCCACCATGTGCCCTTTTAAGCCACCAGAGAAACATATTTTGCTTCTGTGTTATGTTATGGATGAAATATAGGCTTAATTATAATTACACTCAACAAAAGGGACTAAGTGAGATGTATTCAGAGATGGATTTTAAAGCTTTAATAAAAATACAGATAGGAATTAATATCAACAGACGTTTATTGGCCTTTCACTGAGGAAAAATGACAGTAAGAGCTGAGTGACTTAACACAATGCATAAATGTGCATTAAACACATATTCCAGAGTCTACATGCGCTTGTTAACTCTTTACAAACGTTGGTAGCAAATTTTACAATAGATTTGTTAAGCTAACAAAAGATACAGTAAAACAGACCAAATTCTTTGTTGGAGTAGCGCTAAATTTTTAAATGTGCATATCCTGCATACCCTCTTAATCGTCGCTTTGGACAAAAAAGTGTCTGCTAAATGAGTAAATGTAAATGCATTGACAGCTTTGAATAGATGGCTGGTTGAGAGTTCCTTAAAGTTTATCAAGGCCAAAATGCTAAGCAACTAAAATGCTAAGCAACATTGCCTAACAACATGGACAGATGACGCCATTGGTCAATTCTGCTTAGCAAAGTATAGACAACAATGTGACGATATGGTGCAGCTGGCTTTAGTCTCTCTGCCTCATGGGTTTGCAAAACATTTAACCATGAAAATCTAAGAAATTTTTTTTTTTTGTTGTTTATTCAATTTTATTTCCTATTTCTTTTTCTTTTATAGTCATTTAATTCGACTTGAACTGACAACTGGTTACTTTACAAACATTGTATGAGACCAACAGGTTCATTTTAAATAACAGCACAAGTTTCAAGACCAACATTCAAAGACTTGAATTCTGACAGATGTAGAAATGTCTAGTACAAAAGATGTGCTAAATAATCTATTTAATCAGTTTAAAGACTTTTGCCATAACTGTTCAGATGCTGTGTTTGTTTTATTTTCACCCTCTATTTTTCTGGACATCCCAGAGTTGCACAAGGCACACACTGGTGTGAATCTTTGTGTGTGTGTGTGTGTGTGTGTGTGTGTGTGTGTGTGTGTGTGTGTGTGTGTGTGTGTGTGTGTGTGTGTGTGTGTGTGATTTAGTAGCAGATATTGTTATCTGCAATGTTTAATCTAGATGTCATCACACTTCTGATATACTCCAAACAAGGATTTCGGTTACTTTGCTGAAGCTTCATCAGTTTGTACTTTACGCTCTTGTATTGAGTAATATTTACAGTGTGCACAAGTCAAATACAGACAAATCCCCTGTTAAAGTGCACACACACAGAGAAACTTCAAAAACCATTGTAAAGAAATCCACTGCAAATTAAATTAATCAACAGCTCTTGTTTCATGTGTATTCAGGTGGGGTTTGGATTGACTGGTGATAAACTGATATGAAATAATGGTGAAGATATAGCAGTAGAGATATTTCTCTAAGCTTCTCTAAGCTTTTCAGTTGATTGACCAGCTGCTTAAATATGGTTTATGCAATAAAATAAATAAATCAAACTAATCAAATCAAATATTAAACTAATTAAATCACATTGGCATTTAGACAAGTGCTGGCTAAATATTTAGATTTCAGTTGCTGAAAGGTTGAAATGTATTTTTAAAAGTATACGAATCAATTTGGGGCAAGTTGTGACATGTTCTAAAGAATTGTTTGGTAAAATTCTTTTTACTAAATCATTATTTAAATCAAATTTAACAGACCCGAGTTAAAATGCATAAACTATTAACAGCTGTTTTTGTTAACTATTTACAATATATAACAAATACAAGCAGATCCCCCCTGAAAAACAAATTATAAGACTGTTCTTTCTCAACTTATGTCATCTCTACTTACATCAAACTAAAAAATAACTGAAACCTGATTACCTTATTAAAAAAAGTTAAATAAATAAAAGAAAAACATTTGTTGCCTTATAACTTTTTCTGTGCATACAATTGTATCCTGCAAAAAACAAGACAAAATGCAGGATTCCACACAATTCCTTTAATGTTTTTACCAATTTAAGTGGATTCAATGTAAAACACTACTGATTTTCCCAAAAACAACTTAAGAATTGTGTTGTTTCATCTCATTTTAAATATAAAATTTGAACAAGCAGCAAACATTTTTGAATGTATTGACAAAGATTTTGAAGTAAATAAAAAATTGTTAAACAGTTTGACATTCTGGAATTTCCACGGCAGAGATTTCTACAGAAACTCTGCAGATTGTCAGCTAGCGTCCTCCCACAAGCAAAGATTGAGAAATCCTGAGCAAACGATGAAGATGATCATGTGTTGTGTTTGCCTGATTCAGCCCACCAGTGCCTCCTATAAAAGGCCCCCTCTCTCTTTTCTCCTCCTGCCAGAAATCGCTGGTGAAGCCCAGTATGAAGGTCCTGCTCATCTCTTTGCTGGGATGTCTGGGTAATTGCTTTCTTCAACATTGCTGTGACTTGCTCTTCTTTGGTTCTTATTTAATTATTGTGTCTAATGTTGTAATTTTGCTTTGCTCAGTTGTGGCACTGCCATCAGCCAGCGCTCAAAAGAAAGTCAAATGGTGTGTGACAACACAAAATGAGCAGAGCAAATGCAGGCATCTCGCCACCAAAGCAGCAGACATTGAGTGTCATCTCCAACCCACTGTCATTGACTGCATGAGGAGCATAGCGGTAAGAAGACATGCTTGTTATTTGACCTCACTCCGCCTCAAATGAGCTGTTTAGTCTAAACTATGATGATTTTAATAAATTGTCTATCACTCACTCACAGGCTGGTGGAACGGATATTGTTACAGTAGATGGAGCAAATGTTTTCACTGGTGGACTAAATAATTATCTGCTCCGTCCAATCATTGCAGAGAAAAAAAAAGGTGAATACTGAATAAGTAGAACACACGCACATCTACAGTTACATATCTACAGTTGAAGTAAGAATTATTAACCCCCTGTATTATTAGCTCCTCTGTTCATTTTTTAACCTAATTTCTGTTTAACAAAGAGAAGATTTTTCACATTTCTTATCATAATAGTTTTAATACGTCATTTCTAATAACTGATTTATTTTATCTTTGCTATGATGACAGTAAATAATATTTGACTATATATTTTTCAAGACACTTCTAAACAGCTTAAAGTGACATTTAAAGGCTTAACTGGGTTAATTAGGTTAGCTCAGCAGGTTAGAGTAATTTAGGTAAGTTAATGAATAATGATGGTTTGTTCTGTAGACTATCAAAAATACCTTAAAAAGGCTAATAGTTTTGACCTTAAAATGGTTTTAAAATTTTTTAACTACTTTTATTCTATAGCCAAAATAAAACAAATAAGACTTTCTTCAAAAGAATAAATATTATCAGACATACTGTGAAAATTTCCTTGTTCCAATAAACATCATTTGGCAAATATTTAAAAAAGAATTTTAAAGAGGGGCTAATAATTTTGACTTCAACCTTATATAGGAACAATTTTAAATCCATTTCAAAATCAAATTTTTTCTAAATTTCATATAATATTACATGATATATTCTATAATAATGCTATAGTTTTTATTATCATGAATTGCTGATGATATTTATTCTAAAATAAAAAATGGCATTAGATATTTTTTTTGGCATTATTTATAAAAAGTTATGTTTTTAGACATTTAATTGAAGACAAAACTATTGTCCCCAAAAGTGCTGTTTAACAGCGAGATTAATTAGACAATAAAATGAATAACTTTTTATAATATTGATCCGATTTATTCATTTAACCTTGGATCGCCACAGCGGAATGAACCGCCAACTTATCCAGCATATGTTTTACATAGCGGATGCCCTTCCAGCTGCAACCCATAACTGGGAAACATTTATACACCCATTCACACACATACACTACAGACAATTTAGCCTATACCCAATTCTACTAATCACCCAATTCAGAGGCGAACGTGCTACCCACTGCATCACCGTGAAGCCAATCTGATGAAACCAGACCAGATGAAACCCATGCGAATGCGAGGAGCACATGCAAACTATACACAGAATCGCCAACTGACCTTCTTGCTGTGAGGCGACAGCACTAGCTCCTACGCCACTGCGTCGCCCCAATCTGATTCAGTTCCCTAAATTTACTCGTATAAATCTTTGTTTACACCAGAAGAATTCTAGTTTGGGTTTATTTTTATATAGTTATTGTCCTAATTAAGCTAGCAAATGTCTCTTTATTTATTTTTTATTTTAAAATGCAACTTTATCCTGCACTTAAAAAAAAAAATTAGTTATGTTTCAGTTTAGCATGAACTGTTCCTGACTTTTCCTTTTCTCCTCCAGAATGCTGTTATGCTGTGGCTGCAGTAAAGGCTGGCTCTGGCTTCAATATCAATGAGCTTAAAGGAAAGAGTTCCTGTCACAGCTGTTATCAGAGGTCTGGAGGCTGGAATACTCCTATTGGAAAACTGATTGCAACCAATAAGATTACATGGGAGGGTCCTAATGAGATGCCTGTCGAGAGGGGTTAGTGTGGCTCCATTAGATTGTTATTACACAGCACTTTGTAATATTAGAATTCAGTGATCTGTTGTTTATAATATTGACCATCATCTAGTGCAAAAAAATATTTATAACAAGAGAAGCCATGGGTTGAAGTAGTCGGTCTAACATTTTATAATATGGAACACATTATTATAAATAACAGATTTTTATTAAAAAAAGAAGTTACTGTTTATTGTTGCACTCTCAGAAATAAAAGTATAAGAGTTGTCACCAGGGCAGTCCCTTTTCAAATGATTATTTTTAGGTAATGTATAACTTTAAGATACCAATATGGAACATTCTGTTAAAAAAGAAGCACCTCAGTGGCAGTTCCCATACTTTTTTTTTTTTTTTTAAGAGAGTGGAAACTAAGGTAGTTGTAGTATTTTAAATATAGGGGTATAGGTTTGAGGTCTGCTTTGTAACTATTATTAAATAGGCAATTTGCTACCCATGCTAATGTACTATTGCTACACTGCTAAAAATATTCTTACTTTAATTACTTTAAAGTAATTTTTTACTTTAAGTTTTGTCTTGTGTCTAGTCCAAATTGAACTGTACTATATTTAGTAAATCTTGATTTTATTTATTACTCCCAAAATCTTTATGTTCATTTGTTGATTGATTGACGGATTGTTGAGCAACTATATAATACATTTTGGATATGCTAAAATGTTTATTATGCTTTTTTGTGTTCTCCAGCTGTGTCAGAATTCTTCTCGAGCAGTTGTGTCCCTGGTGTATCTAAACCCAAATACCCAAACCTGTGCAAAGCCTGTCAGGGTGACTGCAGCTGCTCACACAACGAGAAGTACTTCGGTGATGACGGAGCCTTCCAGTATGAGCCACACTAATACAATCCCTTATATAAGTATACACCAAGTTCAATTTCAAGTAAAAACAAAGAAAAAAACTGTTATAATTTAAAATAGTAAACACACTATAATCAATCTATGAGTACTATACTTGAATTCAGTATTGTGATTAGATTAGACCACTTTTTAATTGATTACACTCAAACTGTAAATGAGTTCACGACTAGTTAATCACTACATTTTTCATTTGGACTGCCACTTTACACTAAAAGTAAACTTATAGTTACTAGTTTAATACTTTTATATGACACTGAACCACAAAACAAGTCTAATGTTGCATGAGTATATTGTATGAGTCAAAATGATCCTTCTTTTATGCCGAAGCAAATCATTAGAATATGAAGTAATTATCATGTTCTATGTCACAGATGTCAAACTCAGTTCCAAAAGGGCCGCAGCTCTGCACAGTTTAGTTCCAACCCTAATTAAACACACCTGATCAAACTAATTGAGACCTTCAGGCTTGTTTGAAACCTACAGGTAAGTGTGTTGGAGCAGGGTTGGAACTAAACTGTGCAGGGCTTCGGCCCTCCAGGAATTGAGTTTGACACCCCTGTTCTATGTGGACAGTTTGTAAATTTCCTGTAAATATATAATATTTTAATTAGTAATGTGCACTGCGAAGCACTTTAAAGCAACTTTAAAGGCAATTTTTTAAATATTTAGATTTCAGTATTTTTGGTTTCTCATAACCGGTTTTGTTTATTCAAGCTAAGTATAATACTCAGGGTACAATGTTGACGATTTTTTCAACATCGGACCAGTGTTTACAATTTTTACTTGCCCTGTCAACATTTTCACTGGCCCTACCAAAAAAAAAAAAAAAAAAAAAATTAATAGCTATTTCTAAGCCAGAAAAAAGTAAAAAAAAATGTGTCAAAATGTTTGTAAATCTAGAATTTATATATTTAAAAAATGTTAATAAATGTATAATGAGCAAAATTCTAAGTGTTTTGAAACAAAAGATGGCTGACCTGCCAAACTGACGGAAAACTGTTCAAAACATTTTTTTTAGTCATGGTGTGTCCTCGTAAATGTCTGTTTCCAAGACGGTAGAAACAAATGTTTTCCTTTAGCGTCATCATTTAATGTTGTCACCATGTTGTTGTCTCTTCGCTGTACTAGTTGAAAAAAATAACGTGCTCACAACACCCAATCAGATAAGAGGAACCGAGAAGGTAGCATTTTAAGGCTTGAAAACACAAACTGTTTCTCGATTTAAAGACTGTATTTGCAAGCAAATGACAAATAGTCACAGATAAATTGAACTTTAGTGACACGGCAGCAATGGCCCGATCTGGCCAAAAATTATCCTGTCTACTGTCCCGAGCATCTCACACACTGGCCCCGGGCCATCAGCCAGTTCAAGTATAATACTTCATTATACTTTTATAGAATTTATACAAAAGACTGAGTATTACTATAGGTCAAGCCAACTTTTGTCAGTGTCTGTCAGCATAAATCAAGGACACTTTATAGTGTGATTTATTAAGAACTACATGTAAAATATGCTGAAACTATAGTTAAAAAAAAAACTACAATGACATTAACTTATTTTCCCCATGTCTTCTATATGGACATTAATATGTCTTACAAATATGAAATATTTTTTCAGGTGCCTGAAAAATGATAATGGACAGGTTGCATTTGTTTGCCACCATGCAATCCCAGGTCGGTCAATATCTTTACCCAAAATCTTAAATGTTTTCTCTGTCTATGTCACAAAGCTGCTGGTTATAATACCAAGGTTTCTGGTTACAAGCTTCTTGTCTGTTGTGAATTTTTAAGAGAGTGAGAGGCAGAACTACGAGCTGTTGTGCATGGACGGCAGCAGGAAAAGTGTGGAGGATTATAAGACATGCAACTTCGCCAGAGAGCCTGCCCGCACTGTCATTGCTCGCACCGATACTGATTTACAATATGTTTATGATGTCCTGAAGCAGATTCCGGTATGCCCTTACAGTGTCACATAAGTAACCTAACTACATTTCTGTTTAAGAACGCCTGTCCCCTTTAGAGATAAACAATGTCAATGTTAGAAACAAAAGGGAGTAAGATTGTTCTAGATCAGTGAAATCCAACTGAATGTTTAAACGTTTTGCTCAACAGGCCTCAGATCTTTTCTCTTCTCAAGCTTTTGGTGGTAAAGACCTGATTTTCTCAGACTCTGCGACTGAGCTGATGCTGCTTCCTAAAAGAACAGACTCCCTCCTCTACCTGAAGGAAGAATATTATGAGGCCATGCAAGCCTTTAAAGGTGACTAGAATTTTATTTATTTTTGTGCCAAATATTCAGATGAACATTGACACCATTGCATTCAAGAGTAACATTTCTTGTAGTTTTCTTATACATTTCTTATACATTTCATTTTAGACTTCTTTGACAAAAAGAAAGTTGACTGATTATTCTGCTTAGCCAATCAAAATAAACAATAAATAATAAACATTGAAAGAAATGACTGCAGGTTGAAGAAAAATACTGCAGAAAAAGTTCTGAGACAGAACTAAAAATGTGTTCAAGTAAAAGTACACATTGTAAAAACTACAGCGTAAAGTACAATTCCTGAGGGAAAAACTACTCAGTTATAGAAATTTGAGTATTTATAATTTGTTATTTACAGCACTGATAACTGCTGCATGTTTATCTTCTCAGATGGGAACCCGTCAGCACCTACAAGTCAAACTAAATTGGCCATGTGTACCATTGGCCATGCAGAGAAAAATAAGTGTGACAGTTTGGATCATGTTAAGAAGTCGTGCATTTTGGAAGCATCTGTGGATGATTGCATCGAGAAAATCAAGGTATTGTTGGGTCACACGCATGAATGCTGAGGCTGTATGTGCTTTGACCCTGTGGTTTAGTACATTCAGAAAATATTCAGGCCTTACGAATAAGATGTATGTATTCTGATTGCATGCATAAAAAAATTTCCATCCCATTGGATTGCATACTTTTACCATGATTGAACTAATAAACTGTACATATGTGATTGATACTTGTTAGTTGAACGTAAATGAAACAAATAACAAAATTTATGTAATAATATATATAAACCCAAAGTGTTTTAAATGCTTTTTATTAATTTGTTTATTGTGTGGAGTATGGAGCTCCGTCAATACAAAGAAACCCAATCTCACAGAATTTAACTAACTGGATCTGGCTTTTTTTCTACAGATGGATATATGTACATCTATCCACATTTTTTAACTGATTAAATCTAATAGTACTCGTAGTCGTAATCTAATAGTAAATCTAATAGTATTTTAACAGATTTAGATAACAACATACATTTAAAAAACTGGCAATTTGAATCAAATCAAAAGGTTAGAATAGTAAATGAAAAACTTAATGGTTTATTTTTTGAGTGCCTTCTATTTGATTTCTACTCTTACTTTAACAGCGCAAAGAAGCAGATTTCTTAGCAGTTGATGGTGGCCAGGTGTATATTGCTGGAAAGTGTGGTCTAGTTCCAGTCATGGCTGAACAATCCAATTCACGTAAGATTGAACATGACCTCATCAGTTCATAAGACATTTATTGCAATATGTTACATGGGTAGAAAATACATTATACAAGTCAAAATTATTTTTGTTTATGCCCAATATCATCAGAATATCAAGTAAATATCATCTTTTATTAAGAATGTTTGTACATTTCCTTCTGTAAATCTGTCAAAACTTAATTATTGATTAGCAATGAGTATTGTTAATTATTTAATTAGGAAAACTGTGATGTCAGTTTTCTCAATTCTTAGATTTTTTTTAACCTTTATATTTCAGATATACAAATAGTTTTATCTCGATCAAATATGATCCCAATCTCAACACACCGAATATCAATGAGAATCTTATTCATTCAGCTTTCATGTGTATAGATATAAATCAGGTGTATGAATCTCAATTTTCAAAAGCTGACTCTTATGGTTTTGTGGTTTACTGTCACCTTTAGAATTGACATTTTTGATGAAACCTAACATTTTATTCACTACTCTTTTGCAGAAAGCTGCTCTAGTGGTTCAGGAGGTAAATATTACTATAATTATTTGGTACTGATCTGCATTCATTCATCCTGTCAGCCATTTTCTGTGATCTAATTTGGTCTTAAGTGTTGTTTACACCGATGACAATGAGAAGAATTCTATAGTTTACAAAAAAAAAAAAAAAAAACAGTTTTAAACATAAAGGAATAGCAGTGTCTACCTTACAGCCATAATAATGATGACTTTTTAGGCTGATGAATGAATTAACATTTTTTGTATTTTGTGATTCATGTTTTTTCCTCCCTGTATATTTCTGCTTTTAAATTGCATAATGGCACATGGATCTTTCTTCCAACAACTTTTAACCTTCAAAAATTGGAAAAAGTTTTTTTTTTTAAATTTAGGTCTCATTAAGTGCTTTGAAATATGATTTTTTTTTTTATTTGATGTTTGAAATAATCTCAACTAAAAAACGAAAACAGGGTGGGACATTGAGTAGCTCCCATTTTAAAAAAGCAGCCAATAGCGTTTTGTTTTTGTCACAGCTCTGCTAGTGAGAGTGGCTGAGCTCAAGCGCATGAAATCAAAAGCAAATGAGAAGTATCTTGAACGTTATGTACTAGATACTAGAGAGCATTTGATTGGTCAAGATTCAAGAAGAAACTGGCTATGCAAAATTATAAGCATCAGGCTATGCGAAAAAAAAAACATTGATCCATTTAGACGGAAGTGACCAACTACAAGCTTTAGCCTTGTCACTGTTTTGAACCACACAAGCTTATAGATATCATTAAAGATTAACATACTGATATTCATTCATTCATTCATTCATTATCTTTTTGGCTTAGTCCCTTTATTAATCAGGGGTCGCCACAGCGGAACGAAATGCCACATACTAATACTAACATCTAAAAAACATTATTTTTACATTACTGGACCTATACAATTTTTAATACTTTATTTATAGTGATATGTTGTCTGGGTTGTTGTATATTATGTTTCAAAAACCTACATTTTCTTTTACTTTACAGACTTATTTCTATTTATATTATTTCTAGTACAATTTATTATTTCAAACTACTTAAATGTCAATAAAAGTCACTTTGTTAAGCTGTAGAACTATAGAGATCAAAGTCCTATAATCCAATTCATTACAGTAAATAAATGGAATCACAAAATATGGAAACTGTGAATTAACATAATTGTTTTACAGTGCAGGGAAATTCTTTTGTTGTAATCTCTTTTTTGAAATCTTTAACTGATGGACAATTATAAAAACTTATATAAATTAGCATTGCTGTTGATGCAATATAATTATAAAATAGCTAATATAATACTGCTAATAAGATAGTTACAATAACATAATTAACAGTTTTAGTTGTTGTGAGCAGTCAATTAAATTTCATTTCTTTGAGTACAGGGACCGCAAGTTACTACGCTGTGGCTGTTGTGCGTAAGGGCTCAGGTTTAACGTGGAATAACCTAGAAGGAAAGAAGTCCTGCCACACTGGCCTGGGTCGCAGTGCTGGTTGGAAAATCCCAGAGTCAGCCATATGTGGCGAAAAAGATAAATGTACCCTTGGTGAGTATTATTAAAGACAGTCAAAGCTAATCTGCCAATTTGGGCCACTTGGAGTTGTCAGATTTCACAGAAAATCATGAGTAGCCTACTACAGATTTTTTTTTTCTCGCTAGACTTCTAACTGTTGAAATATCAAGTATCCTTGATTATCTGATGTTTTTCTTGTACAAGTTTATAGATTATGTTGTACAGATATCATCTTTGGGAACCACAAAAACGTATTTCAACATATGTTTGAGTGCAGTTTCTAGGTAAAATTGATGCTGTTGGGCTATGGGGTCAACATACGGTATTTTATTCCTCATCACACTAATGATATTTACAGGGACATGTTTTTAGCAATTAAAAGATCATTTTCACGCAAACTTTCCCTCCCAGAAATTACTTTGACCAACTTGTGATGTTTGTAATTACTACATAAAAGCTTAATTGTGTCTGTGATTTGTAATCCAATAAGTTTGCCTCACCTGTCTGTCTCCATATGGACAACTTTTCTGGTGTGGTTACATTGCTTGGTAGCGCACTTTGTAGGCCTATGGTAAATTATGGCTCTAGAAAAGAGGTAAAACTATAAGCAAATGCACCTTTCTCTTCAGTTTGAATTTGAACACAATATTGGTTGGGTTTAGGTCAGTGGTTCGCTATACAACAAGGCTTGCATTGTCGTGGAAGTGTTCATGAATCTAGAACATACATACAAATAAATAAATAAATAAAACACTCTTAGAAACATATTTCAGATTCACAAAAAAATGTAGACAACGCCCTCTAGTGGAATTGTAATCTAAAACATGCAACAAAACATACACATGAGCTACATATTTTGTACTCAAAAATGTAAGCTGAGGCAGGTATTTATAATCGGGCTGGAGTTATGATAGTAGTTTTTCTACTAATTAGAATATATATATATATATATATATATATATATATATATATATATATATATATATATATATATATATATATTTTTTTTTTTTTTTTTTTTTTTTTTTCTCTTGTAATCATTATCAATGCTGTCATTGTTTTACTAGCAGAACACTTTGCTCTTTACTTTTTATATGAATTCTTTAGTGCTGGGCAAAGAATCATAATTAATTGCATTAAAAGTTTGTTTTGGCATTATATGTGTGTATATTATAAATGTATTATATACGTAATACAGACACATACATAGAAACAAAACTATGCAAAACAATTTTGTTGCATCAATATTTAAATTTATATATCATTTGTATCATATATATATATATATATATATATATATATATATATATATATATATATAAATGTAAATAAATATTTTCTCAAATATATGTATGCATGTGTATATAATAAACACAGTACACACATATATTATGTCGAAATAAACTTTTATTTTGGATGCAAATAATCGCTATGAATTTTTACCAAGCATTATTTTTTTATAATCTAGACAATGAAAAAATCCTTAGAAATTACTGAGAATGTTTCATTTATATAGTATGATGTAATATTTTGTGATCAAAGTAATATTTTGAGAGAATTGATTTCTTTAGTGACAGGGAAATAGATCAAACCTAATCATGTTTAGGAGAATCAAGTTTTAGGAGAAATCAAGTTAGACAACTTAGTTGTCTAATTACATTAAAGAGCACATTTCCTGTTCATTTCTCAGACAAGTTCTTTAGCGAAGGCTGCGCTCCTGGTGCTGATCCTACATCAAACATGTGTAAACTGTGTAAAGGCAGTGGGAAGCCTGTTGGAGATGAAAGCAAATGCAAACCCTCTGCTGAGGAGCAGTATTATGGCTATGATGGGGCTTTCAGGTATACTGGACTGTATTCAAGGGAATGTGCTTTTTAGATGTGAACATAATGTAAAGCAGAAAACAATCTTGCTTTTCTTATAGGTGTCTTGCAGAAAAAGCTGGTGATGTTGCTTTTATTAAGCACACTGTGGTCGGGGACTACACAGATGGTTAGTGTGTTTTACTTCAATTAATATTTGACACTTTTTTAAACTGTAAGGTGTTTCAATGGTCTTATCTTTTTCTTTAAAATTCTGTCTGCTTAGGTAAAGGAAAGGACTGGGCAAAGGATTTAAAGTCAGAGGATTTTGAACTTATTTGTCCAAACACACCAGACACAACAATGAAATACACTGACTTTGAAAAGTGTAACCTTGCCCAAGTGCCAGTTCATGCTGTGATTACCCGGGAAGATGCGCGCAGTGCTGTGGTGTCCTTTTTGTCTGACATTCAAGTGAGTTTTTACAGTTCTAAGTATGTTCCTGCTGTTTCAATATTTTGTCAATATTTTGTCAGTATTTGTTTTTAAAGTTGGGTCTTATTTTACCAGTCGTCTGTTTCTACATATTTTTCCCTGTTATATGTCTTACAAATAAAGTTTTAAATCCCATCTCTTATCATATGTTTCAGAGCAAAAATAATGACCTTTTCACCTCCAAAGATGGGAAAAATCTCCTTTTCACTGATGGCACTAAATGCCTTCAAGAGATAAAAGGATCTGTGGATGATTTCCTGACGAAAAAGTACATCGATATGATTGAGAGGACCTACAAGACTAGCCAGAATGTACCAGGTATAAAATGTACCTATAATATCCTACAATGTCTGGTTCAAAATTCTAGGTCAAAACAAGTTTTAGCCATATCTTGTTGTTTTTGACTTACAAAACTGCATCCACTTACAATGCTTTATTGTAATGATTCATTCTTTTAATGTTTTTTTTTTACAGATCTGGTGAAGGCATGCACTTTTGGCAACTGTATTAGCTCCTAGTACCTATCTTACGGTCAACAAACACATCAAACAGTCAGATGTGATCAGGTTTCTGTTTTATCACAAAAGGGGATGAAATGAAATTAAAAAAATATTTCTCAAAATGATGTTTCTGAGATTGTTTTTTAAATGCAAACTATAAAGTAATAAAAGAATAAAAACATGCATGTCTGCATTCTTTTGGGGAGTAGATTGTGGAGTTGCTCAGTTGATTTGTTTTTTTTTTTCAATTCAGGGAATTCAATTGCATTACAAGCTACTGTGAAATCTACAACAATACACAGATTGCATAATACATTCATTCATTTTCATGTCGGCTTAGTCCCTTAATTAATCCGGGGTCGCCACAGCGGAATGAACCGGCAACTTATCCAGCAAGTTTTCACGCAGCGGATGCCCTTCCAGCTGCAACCCATCTCTGGGAAACATCCCCACACACAATCACACACACTCTTATACACTACGGACAATTTAGCCTACCCAATTCACCTGTACCACATGTCTTTGGACTGTGGGGGAAACCGGAGCACCTGGAGGAAACCCACGCGAAAGCAGGGAGAACATGCGAACTCCACACAGAAACGCAAACTGAGCTGAGGTTCATACCAGTGACTTTTTTGCTGTGAATCGAATGTGCTACCCACTGCGCCACTGCCTCGCCCTTGCATAATACAATATAAGAAATAAAAGGGGTGCATGATATTGGAAAAAACTGAAATCGGAATATTTCTTTTTTCTGCGGTATATATATATATAAATAATGTGATATTACTTTAATTTCACAAGATGACTCAAATTTGGATAGAAATCAGAATTTTTACATTGTAATCTAGACACTTCATTTATCAACCTTATCAAATAAGAATAACGTTTCATAATTCTTTAAAAAAAAAAAAAAAAAAACAGGAACCCTTTATTCTTGAGTTCCACTGATGGTTTAATTTGTAGTTTTAGACATAAAACTTCTTAAGAAAATCTCAATTTTTAAGTTTTTTTGCAGGCAGTGTTTTCCGGTGTTACCCAGCTGCCTGTAGGCTACCAGTGGTTATCCAATGTTTATATTCAGTGTGTGTTGCATCTCCATATTGGGCCATTATATATATAAAAGAATAACCCACATATGAATATAAGGAGTAAGTAGACGCGGTGGTGCAGTAGGTAGTCAGTTAGCATTTCTGTGTGGAGTATGCATGTTCTCCTCTTGTTCGTGTGGGTTTCCTCTGGGTGCTCCGGTTTCCCAAAAGACATGCGGTACAGGTGAATTAGGTAGGCTAAATTGTCGGTGGTGTATGAGTGTGAATGGGTGTTTCACAGTGATGGGTTGCTGCTGGAAGGGCATCCGCAGCGTAAAAAAAATAATGTGCTGAATAAGTTGGCAGTTCATTCTGCTGTGGCGACCCCAGAATTATAAAGGGAGTAAGCCGACAAGAAAATGAATGAATGAATATAAGGAATTTTTAAATTTCAGTTTTGATTAGTAAATAGTTAAGACCTGTGTAGTGCTTGATAAAACTATCAGAATATTGACTTACATAAATATTGCATGCACTGTACTGATTCTAATGACACTGATATGGAATGGAAAAAATAGTATCTGCAATGTTTAGGCCATGGTTTTTGAAGAATATTTATTTAATGTTGGATTAATATAAAATTTTCTAGTGTACATAAATACATACTTTAACTTAATGTCATATTTCATGTTTTTTTATTTATTTATTTAAAGCCCTGTTGTAAGCAATATATAAATAGTATAACTATATAATATCGATATCTACACTAGATATGTTCAGCCGTGCTAGTCAAGACCAAAGCCAATGTGAAGATGCTGGACGTTAGCTCTGTGTGTACGGGTGTCGTAACGTGTAAACAAAGAAAACAAACATAAAGGCAGAACATTCCATAGGTAAGATTTAGTTTTTTTTACATTTTGTATGTTGTGAAATTTTGTGCTTTACAAGTAAAATTACTGATGATAATACAGTCACTTACTACACTGATCATAAGGAAACGTAGCAATAACTTAGGCAGTGCTAGTTTTGTTGATTAAAATCAGAAAACAATGTAAATTAAATATGACAAGATGCTGTGGTGCCAGAAGGTTGTATTATTGTCGGCTAAATAAACGAGTCATTCCTACACGAATCACTCCCTCCGTTAGCATTTAGAAGTAAAGGCAGGAGAAGGGGGTGTGTTTTAGGACATGGATTGATCAATATTAACAGGGAGGAAGGATAATAAATTTTCAAGTACACAAACACATGCTCTTTGCACCTGCAATCCCCGAGTGGTCACATATCCATAAATGTTGAAAAGTGATGTCAAATTAGAATTTTAGTAATTAAAAATTTATATTTGCATACTGACCACTGGGAAAACTCCTGATCATAGATATATAAGTATATTTTTCGTGCTCTGGGTGGCCAGTCCTCCACTGCACCTTGGTCCCACGTTCATTTCAAAGGAGCGCTACCCTGTACTAAAATGGTGGCTCAGTTAACGCATTCCTTTCAGTTGACAACAACAGGGTGGCGACATTTAATGTATGTGTAATATCTATGTATGTCTGTTTTTGTATTTTTCTTCTTTATGGTTTAAAGTGGATCACAAATAAATAATGCATTACCGCCACCTACTGCACCAATGGACAATTGACGTCTGAAGCTTCATCTGTTACTGTTCAGCTATTCAACTCTGAAAAATTAAATAAACTCTGAAAATATTAATAGGCTTACAGTTTTGTTCGTATCTTACTGAAATTAAAGAGAGATAGTTCACCCAAAACTGAAAATTTTGTAATCATTTACTCAAACTTCACGTTCTTAATGAGTTTTTTTTATTTATTTCTGTTAAATATAACATAATATAAAGTTAAACAATATAAAGTTAATATTTTGAAGAATGTAGGAAATCCATGGTCGGAAAAACAAATAGTCTTAGTTTCAACATTCTTCCAGATCTTATAAGCTTTTCTCTCCAAATCAATGACATACTGGAACTCTGACGGGCCTTTCGTTTATTTTGACTGTGTATTTGGAAAATGTATACTGCTCTTCCTTCTTCATTAATTCATCCTTTAACTCCTTTCCTTCTTTGACAGTATACTGTTTTGCTGGATTTTCATTTGTTCACTGCAATGTACTGTTCAATCTTCAATCTTATTTAACATATTATCCTCTGCTTTACTCTCACCTGATTCCCGTTCTAACCACTAATTGTGTGAGAAATCTCTAATCTCTAACCCAAAATTTTAACCAGAATGATTATAAATTTTATATGCTGTTTTTACTCATCATCATCATCGTCATCATCATTATTATTATTATTATTATTATTATTATTACTACAACTACTACTACTATTATTATTATTATTATTGTTATTATTATTATTATTATTATTATACTAGGATATATAGTTTTGAAATCTTTTGAATTGAAATCTTTTGAATCAAAAATTTACAAATAATCTCCATACCATAGCCTCATACGCCAGATCATAAACATCACCTTCACATGGATCCATCATCAAACCCAAGAAATACTCACATCTGTACACCATGTAATTGCTGGTTATATATCAGTTTAATAGAGTATTTTTATTTTCTTTTTGTTTGTTTATTTGTTTTTTTCTCTGACAGACTTAAAGTCCCCATGAAATTAAATTAACCATATTGATTTTGTTAGCTCACATAGCTAATTTTGTGGTGAACAACTCATCTGTTCAGGTCATTAAGAAAATAATAATTGTTTGCTCTTCTAATTTAAAATTAAAATCTAAAAATGCACTTTTTCCAGTTATATTGTAAGATTTGGAGGAATTGGACATGGCTAAAAGACTTAATCACGTCCCACCAACTGTCAGTTTGGACAACAAACAGAAACGGTGAGGAGGAGGTGTCAGTTCTCTCCTGAAACCCTTTTCCCAACTTTACTACATTCATTCAGCTCGCAGCAACAAAAACAAGCTATGCCCATGCACGGTTTTCTCATTTAGTATTCTGTTTCTCTAAAAGTGTCAGAATACGAAAAAAAAAATGCTCGCAGCTTCTGATTTATGCAGACTTTAAGTAACTATGAAATGGAAGTAAAGACTGTTCTTTGCTTTCTCTATTGCAATGTACATCAACTTAAAATGGTCCTGAAATTAGAAAAATGTAGAAAGGTGCACATGGTACCTTCCTTTGGAAACCCTATTGGATTATCGGAAGATAGGTGTTGCTAACAAAAAGTAAAAAAGATAGACGAATGTATAAAGGGAGAGCAAAAACGAGACACAAAGGAATTCTATGTGACCAGATGTGAAGAAAAGTAATTTTGGTGGGAGGGAAGGTGGTTTGATTAAAGATTATGCAAATTAATTTTTACTAAATAATGAAAGGCACAGATGCATCGTTTATACCAAGCCCTATTGATAGATAAAATACAAATCAGATTATGTATACATTTTGATTTCATTGCGATTTTAAATCCATTCGCATTAACTTAAACTAAACTACTTCACTTAAAAAGATAGTTCACCCCAATAATTGGAAAAGTCTGTCATAATGACTTGCACTCCAATTTTTTCAAATCTGTTTGCATTTCTCCTGTTGAATAAAAGGTTTTCGCTATTTTAGTTTCACGCATTCGAACAGTATCTCTCGTGTTTCTGGGTGTTAATTCACTGACTTTTCGGGAATATAAAGACCCAGGACGGTTTTACCCTGTGCCGTTTGGGTTAAAATGACATATGGACTGTTGATGGGTTGGTTGTTCTCTTGTATTCAAACCCATTTGTTACCATTAAACATCTCATCATCTCATGTGAATTGTGGGAATGGCAGAACGAGTTAGCAAGAAGCAGTGGTGTAAAGTAACAAATTACAAATTCTCAAATTACTGTAATTGAGTAGTTTTTTCCCTTGAGTACATTTTTGCGGTATCTGTACTTTTACTCCACTACTTTCCTTACACCTACAGTCACTAGCCTACTTTATTATTTCCTCTCAATATGGATTAAAATCAGTCCTGTGATTCCTGTCCAATCAAATTGCACATAGAAAGTAAATCGCCTTACATTAAACTGCCTTAAGAAATGCAGCAAACTGTTTGGAAGCATTAAAAGTGTCCAAAAAGATACTTTACATGCAATGGCCCAGAGACTGTTTGGTCTGAATGTCACTGATAAGAAGATGACGGATGTTTATTTATGATGACCGAAATGGCTTGAAACAATAACTGAATGCACTACAGAATGTTACGTTTACACACACACACATACACACACACACACACGCACAAATTACATTTCAACGCATCAATTTTTTCCAGCATAATACTCACTACTCTTGAGTACTTTTATAAAGGTTACTTTTTACTTATACTTTGAGTAATATTTACAACAGATAACTTTACTCTACTTGCACTATATTTTTGGGCAAGTAATGGTACTTTTACTTGAGTATGATTTTTCAGCATTCTTTTTATCACTGGCAATTAATTTGTCCGGTGCCTGATTTGACAATTTTTTTTCTCATCATAAAGCCAAACTTAATAATTTATGTAAATATAACGATACAGTCAAAAGAAATGACAGGCCTGTCAAATTTTAGTATGTCATTAAAGAATCTCAAAAAACTAAAGAATCTCAAAATGTTTGGAACAACTTATTTATTGAAAAATAAAGGAAAACTAAACACACAATCCTGAGGTGTTCCGATATTTACAACCTTACATTTTATACGTGAATACAGGCCCATAGGGGAGGTTTAAGTGGATCGGAAGACCCACCCCTCACTGACAAAGGTCCAGAATTTGTCCCATACCAAAGCTCATTTATCCCATTTTGACTGCTAAGCCATAATGAATTGTGAAAATAACACATCGAAAAAGTGTTTGAGCCCAAGCCGAATCCTGTTGGCTGTCGGTACAGAATTTGGGATACCGAATTTGGCAATTTTGATGCCAGAATCAGTGTATCAAATTCTGAATGAGAAAGTTGAATGTGCTGGCCAGTTTGTTATTTGTCTCATAAATGATAATGGGCTACACTTTTTTTTTAAAAACAGATTCTTATTTTTTCCAATGATATTTGATGTTATAAATTTCATTCATTTTCTTGTCAGCTTAGTCCCTTTATTAATCCGGGTGTGCCACCATGGAATGAACCGCCAACTTATCCAGAACATGCAAACTCCACACAGAAATGCCAACTGACCCAGCTGAGGCTTGAACAAGCGACCCTCTCGCTGTGAGGCGACAGCACTACCTACGGCACCACCTTTATTAAATTTGTATTTTTAAAATAAGCATATATTTTTGTATATATTATTGTATTATTTCTTTATTCCAAATCTCTTTTTTTGTTACATCAATGTTTTGGAACATCAAAAAGTGTGACCATGCGAAAAGCTGATCCAGAAAAAAAGTGTTTAAAATCCTATTTCGATAGGCTGGCTGCAGGCCTGGAATATGTATTTATTTTCCGTATGCGAGGCTATAATAAATACATTTAGATTATTCGATAGAGACTTTTATTATCGCGCCGTATGATTTCTACCCTTGGCGAATGACCCCGCAGCGCTCAGGTTGATTAACCCGGAAGTACCCACGCATCTCACTGAGCACTCCGTCCGGTTCTGCGGGCTCAAGGGGAGAAGCGCTGAAGCACCATGGCTCTGCTCTAATCGCGTTTATTAAGACAAGTGTGATCAACTTACCGGCAATCCGTCACCATCCGCGCCTTAAACATGGACCTCCAGTCAAGAGGCTCGTCCTGGGGCCATCAGCTCTGTCGGCAGTAACATCTGAAAACTGTATTTATTCTCTTTTTCCCCCATACTGTCACTTTTTCTCGCCTTTGCACGCTACATGGGATTTAAACCTAAAGTGTCAGCCGCTAGCCAACACTTCTCCCTCTGTTTACCCAGATATTCCCGAGGAAACCAAGACGCCCTCCGTTAACAACGAAGAATAGCAAAAAGAAACTTTCCAGAAACACGTTGACGACGTCTCGCCCTCAAGTTTCCCCGTTTGTCTGCGGAGCCGGTGAGTAATCCTACTGCCTATGCTAACTTTGATAGCCGCGTTTAAACCGATAATCGCAGGGGCCAAGCGGGCCTAGATTGACACTGGCGACGGGTTTAATGCTGAGTTGTGTTCGCCTATCAAACTATTTTTTCCGTTAAACGCTCTCCCTTAAGTTGCCACTAATATCTGTGTAGTATTTTCTCCATGTTGGGTGTTATTTCCTCGGTTTTTCGCTATTCCAGTTTCACGCTTTCGTATTGCTCGTGTTTCGGGGTGTCAATCTGCTGACATATCGGGAATATAAATACACGAGACTATTTGACCCCGTAAGGTTTGTGTTAAAATGACATATGAACTGTTGATGAGTCGGTTGTTCTGTTGTATTTAAACGCATTTGTTTCCGTTAAACGTCTTATCATCTCGTGATGAATTGTGGGAATGCCAGCACGAGGACGGTGGAATAAGTTTGTCCGGTGCGTAATTTAACGTTTTTTCCTCATCAAAAAGCCAAACTTTACATTAAGTTGTGTATATATAACGATACAGTCAAAATAAACGACATGCCAGTCAGATTCCAGTGTGTCATTGATTTGGAGAGGGAAGCTAATAAGCTAGTGCGGGCGACTGCACACTTCCCCACACGTTTATTGAGGGCCCAGTTTGTTTTTGCTAAATCTACACATAGTTTCCGACGTGGGTTTATGTGTATAGCGTGTTGTTGATGTGGTTAACTTTTTTGTTCTAAAACGAAAAGCTTGTTTTGGTGGAGACCGCTGAGAGTATGTTAACGTGTCAGTGCCATATGGAGGAGGCTAGCGCTGTTAGCCGCGCCGGCAGAGCATCATGGCTGCGGTGTGACACGTCTGTAGGAGAAGCGCGCTGCTTCATCGCACTTTCGGGAACAGAGCTTGCAGGAAACTTAACATTTTGGAAATTACCCCATAATTTTTTTTTCTTTTTAACTGCATGCACTTTAGTGTTTATGTGGATAACCTGATTAAACATTTTCTGTTTTATGTTATTAACATTATTTTACTACGTTTTTATGTTGGAGTTTCGCTTTCTGCGTTAAATTGAGTATCTGGTCTCTTGTAATATTGTATTTGGTCCTCATATAAATCAGTCTACTGTACTGAATAGTTAAAAGGTTGATAACCACAGATAAGAAGTTTAATGCACACCCAAATCTGTGGAATGACGACCTCAGTTAACATTTACTTTAATGGTGTGGGGGATGGAAGTGAATGAGCGTGCAATGCATCATCGTTAGAGTAATGCTTAAGAAAATCTTTATTCTGTGAACATGAATAACTGACAACCCATTTTAAACAAAGCTTTTGGCTATTTTTAAGCTTGCACGTTTTGTGGATAACACAAAATGCTGGTGTAAATGGGCTTTGAATGGTTTGGTATTGTCTACCTTTGACCACCTCCAGAGGTTGTCAGATGCATTTGATTACAGATTTGTAGTGTCGCTTTTGTAGTGTAAATGCTCATGTGGTCAAAGCATTCAGAAATCCACAAAGCACAGCCTACTTTTCGCCTATTGACTTTTTTGTTACAGGATAGGGTGTAATGTGCTTTAAACTGCTGTCTTCTGAAATTGTAAGTCAATTGACTGAATAAAATGTAAAAGGCAGGACATACTTTGCAGCCTTGATTCTAACACAAATTTAAATAGTGTAGTTTTGCGCTTATTAGAGTAGCAGAAACAGTTGTTTATTTTCATTTTGCATTCATGCAGATGTATTATAGAAACATGGCTTCCTCTACTTTCATCCTTCCATGGCAAGGCGCCACACCAAAATTCACCCCGCCACTACTACGTTACTTCTCATTCAAAACATGTAGTTGTTGTTGGTTTTTGATAGCGGCATATAACCTCATCAAAACGTGTTAAAAGGTGAGTGAATTATAACAGCTCAAACTTTTCTGTAATCATAGGCCCAGTTTACACTAATGCGTTTTAGTTTGAAAACATAAGTTTTGCTATGGATATGCCATCCACACTACGCCAAAGTTTTTGAGTGCCGAAAACGGAGCGTTTTGGAAAAGCTTAAGAGGCCGTTTTCATCCTAAAATGCTGCTGCTTTGTCTCAGTGTTGATGGGGGAAAACAGAAACATCTGAAAACAGAGGCGGGGCTGCAGACATTCGCCTCTCTGATTGAGGCTTTTCCTTAATATTAAGTAGCCTACACACACCGTTCAGTTTTGCATCATCCCCCTGTAAGTTCAGACTACGCAAGTTTGATATAGAAAACAGACCCTTGACAACATGTTGAGAACATGTTGTTTCACTTTCTTAACAATAAAATAAAAACATGAAGGAACTGCTATCCGCTTGTTAAGTGTGACATCACGCGAAGCAGCTTCCGGGTCCAAGCACTCTATTCAGCTGAATGGGGAGACTTGTGAAATGGTAATAATAAAACGTTTACAAAGCGATTTAATACTTTCGAAAATCATGGTCGCAATATATATGTCCATGCCTAATATCCAATGACCAGAAAGTAATAAATTTTTTTTATAAATTGTTAAATTTTGGTATTTGTGATGCAGCAAGCCCAGAGATTGTTGTGTACACTGACTTTTTATAAAATTAACTTTAATGTGTGATGTGGATAAAAAGTGATCATAAACTAATGATTACTCAACTCAAATGAGTGGCGGCTTGGACCCGGAAACAGCATTACATATGTCACCAACACGTCACCACTTAACAAGTGGATTATCATTTTGATATTAACAACTTAACAGACAGCAGAAATGTCGTGGGATTGTGCTGCATATAAGAGCGTCATTTTCACTGTATTCATAACAAAACGGAGCCTAACATTACTGCCTCCTTTGATTTTCATTGAAATTACGAAACATACCCCCTCTTTTGCTGAATATCAGTTTTCATAATCAATAATGGCCATTATAAAAGTATAATGTACAATAAATTTATACATTATAGGAAATAAAGGCAAGCAATCAATCAATTTACAGAATGTACATGGTTACATTAATTATTAACTTATCTTTGCGCTCAGCCAAAACACATTACCCGAGAACAAGTAATAGATTTAAAAGACCAGAGTCGGGGAATATGTTGTTAGATAAAGACAACAAGATAAGTTAAATATCACGTTTAGCAAATATAGTGAGATGAGATCCAGCGGGAGACCCTTGATGAACACTCCGATGAGCACAGCTCTTATCTGGGTAGATAAACTGCAGCGCATGCCTGTGTGTGTGTGTGTGTGTGTGTGTGTGTGTGTGTGTGTGTGTGTGTGTGTGTGTGTGTGTGTGTGTGTGTGTGTGTGTGTGTGTGTGTGTGTGTGTGTGTGGTCACGTGATGTGCGTTTCAGTCGTTTTGGTGTGGACGGAGAGCTGTTCAGAAACGCTGGGTGAAAAGCTAGTGTTTACGCGGATCGTTGTCATTCTAAAACACCGTTATATAACTAAAACGCACCAGTGTAAACGAGGCCATAGTAGTGCTGTGCATGATTTGTTTACCCCTTAAGGTGACATGCTGACTGACAGGTGCGTGATGCGTGAGGCTAGCAAACATGGCGTTGCTTTCAGTTAACATATCTGCAGTTTGCATAATTATACTTTATAGATAATAGATAATGCTTTATAATTCTTTCAGATTTATAGATGACTTTATCTTGCTGAAGTTTATAGTCGTTTCACTTTACTTCAGGGAGCATTAATGCCGCTGTAGGTCTGTTGGAGACATTCATAAATATATCTAGCAAACCTAATACTTGTTGGAGAAATACTCACTACATACACACTCTAAATCGCACTTCAGCAACGTTTATTTGAGAGCGCACAAGGGCGTGCAAGAAGTTTTGTACAAAAAGAGAGAAAATCAGCATGCAAGCAAAGAGACTCGCAATACATATGTGATCTCGACTTGTAATACTGCACTCACGACATTTGTCATTGAAATAACGCCACAGGTAGTTTGGTGGATCTGTGTAAAAGGCCCAACAGTCTGCCACCACAGCTGAAAAAAATCCTAGAGGAAACACTGAGAAATGTAAATACTTCTCTAAGTTTAAGTCTTTACCCACTCTCACAGCATTTTAATAAAAAATGCTTTTATTTCTTGTTTTACTTAAAGTGTATTTTTGGGATTTTTGCCTTTTTAAAACAGTTTATTATTTAGGCAGGAAGTGAAGGTAAAGAAAGGTGCAGATAAGATTAGGAAAGGTCCTCAAGCTGGGACTCAAACTTGAAATGGATGCAGCTCAGAAGCGCTTGATGTCGGAGCACTGCCTACTAAGCTATCACCGCCTAGGCCTTGCTTTAAAATACTTATGAATTTATGCTGTGCAAAGTTTACAAATTTGAAAATGCAATTTTTGTATTGTAGTGTGACTTCTGGAAATTGAAGCTTTCAAAAACAATCACTTATTTTTTAGCTATGATCCATTCAATCCAGAGTAAGATGACGAATGACATTGTACCACTGCCATTTTTCTTCTCACCAGCTTGATAATGTTAGACTTATTAGCTTGTACATGCTTAAGATTGTGTGTTTACACTGATGACTAGGGCTGGGATGATACAGTAATTAATGAAAATTGCAATTGGCGCATCTCTATTCTTAATTGTCATTGATTGGCCACTGATTACACACAACAGATATGATTGTGATTGGCTCATCACTTTGCTTTTTACAGACAACTTACATGGACAGTGAAACCAAAACATCTGAAAGTTGTTAAGCAGAGGATGCTTCTATGAGCAGATATAAGAGCTACCTGCTTAAGCATCAGCTGATAGAAAATGTTGCTGTTGCTTCTGTCTGTCACCTGGAATGGAGTATGAAGCTGTGGTTTTAAGGATGTGTGTGTTTGTTCTGAAGTCAGCACTTTTCCAAAACTAATGGAATTTTGAAGCTAGAATAATTAGCATTTTTAATGGACAGTACTTTTTTTTGTTTGATATTTAACAATACCCATTAGGTACAACCAGGTGAAAAAAAATGTTTAGGGATGTGCCGGACAAGTTGACTACA